TCCTCCTCTTCCTCTTCTTCTTCTCCTCTTCTTCCTCCTCTTCCTCCTCTTCCTCTCCTCCTCTTCCTCCTCTCTTCCTCTTCCTCCTCTCCCTCCATATCATCCTCTTCTTCCTACTTCTTTCCATCTAATTTTCCTTCATCCACCATCCTCCTCCTCCTCTTTCTCCTCCCTTTCTCCTAGTTACCAAAATCCTCAGCCTCCTCTTCTTCTCTTCTCCTCCTTTATCATTTCCTTCTTATTCCTCCTCCTCTTCCTCTCCTTTCCTCCTCCCTCTCCTTTATATACCGACATTCTCTTCCTACTCCTCTCCTCCTCTTCCTCTTTCTCTTCTTCTCCTTCTTCTCCTTCCTCGTCACCAAAATCTTCGTCCTCCTCACCCTCTTATCTCCCCCCCCCCCTCCTTTCTATCCCAATTTTCTCTTCTCTATTTCTCCTACTCCTTTATTTAACAACAGTTTCTTTCTATTCATCCTTCTCCTCTTTTTCTCTCTTCCTCCTCCTCTTCTCTCCTTCTCCTCTTCCTCTTCTTCTCTCCTTCTCCCCCTCTTCTCTCCTCCTCCTCCTCGTCTCTCCTCCTCTTCTTCCTCTTCTCTCCTTCTTCTCCTCCTCTTCTCTCCTTCTCCCCTTCTTTTCTCCTCATCCTCTTCCTCTTCTCTCCTCCTCTTCTTCCTCTTCTCTCTTCCATCTCCTCCTCTTCTCTCCTCCTCCTGCTCCTCTTCCTCCTCTTCTCTCCTTCTTCTCCTCCTCTTCTCTCTTTCTCCCCTCTTTTTTCTTCCTCTTCTCTCCTCCTCTTCTCTCCTTCTCCTCCTCTTCTCTCCTTTTTCTCCTCCTCTTCTCTCCTCCTCTTCCTCCTCTTCTCTCCTCCTCCTCCTCCTCTTCTCTCCTCCTCTACCTCCTCTTCTCTCCTCCTCCTCCTCCTCTCGTCTCCTCCTCCCCCTATTCTCCCCTCCTCATTCTCTTTTTTCTTCCTCTTCTCTCCTCCTCTTCTTCCTCTTCTCTCCTTCTCCTCCTCTTCTCTCCTTCTTCTCCTCCTCTTCCTCCTCTTCTCTCCTCTTTCTCCCCCTCTTCTCTCTCCTCCCCTTATTCTCCCCTCCTCCTCCTCTTCTCTCTTCCTCCTCCTCCTCCTCCTTTATCCGCCTCTTAATTGTCTCCAGCGCACAGCCTCTTCCAGCTGCCTCAGACGGGGCTCCAATTTGCATAAGTAAATACAATCCTGTTTCCCGTAGGACACAAAGGCGGGATCTTGTGCTCAGGTAGGATGCTGGTAATAGTTTCTGGCTTTTAAACATAGGATATGCGTTCGGGAATGCTTGCGGATTTCTGATGGGCGCTGGATCTGTTTGTTTTTTTGTTTGTTTTTTTTGTTTGTTTTTGTTGGGTTGGTTGTTTTGGTTTGGTTGTTTTGTTATTGATTTGTTGTTTGTTATTTTTTTGTTTGATAATCCGTTCTGTTATTGGTTCTGTTATTCGGTTGCGTGTTTTGTTTATCTGTTGGTTTGTTTTTTTGTTTTTTTGTCGATTTATTTCTTTGCTTGTTTATGCGTTTGTTTGTTTGTCATTTATTTGTATGGTTATTCCTTTTTTCTGGTTGTGTCTCTTCCCTGCTTTCGTATGTTTCTTTGTGTTTTCGTTTCTTTCTCCTTCTCATCTTTAGTCTGCTTGTTTGTCTGTTACTTTCTGTCCATATGTCTCTCTCTGTCTCTGTCAATCTGTCTATCTATTTGCCTATATGTCTGTCTGTCTATCTATCTGTCTATCTTGAGCTATATAGTATGCATGTGTGTGTGTGTGTGTGTGTGTGTGTGTGTGTGTGTGTGTGTGTGTGTGTGTGTGTGTGTGTGTGTGTGTGTGTGTGTGTGTGTGTGTGTGTGTGTTTGTATGTGTGTGGATGTGTGTGTTTGTATGTGTGTGTATGTGTATGTGTATGTGTGTATGTATGTATTTACATAAACGGTGTATACACACATGTATATCGTCTCTTCAGCCCACACACGTAACCCAACACAGTTTCCCAACACTCAAAAATACTGGTTATAAAAAAAAATGAATAAAGATTATGTAAATAAATAGATAGATAGATAGATAGATAGATAAATAGATAGAGAGAGAGAGAGAGAGAGAGAGAAAGATATACAGATACATAGAAATGCAGATACAGATAGAGAGAAAGGCAGATATATCTATGTATATAAATAAATACAAAGGCAGATATAGATATAGATAGATACAAACATAGATACATAGATAAGTAGAGAAAGAGAGAGTGGGGGAGGGAGATAAGATAGATAGCTAGAAAAAAACATCCAGACATCCAGACAGATAGAGAGAGAGGGAGAGAGATAAGATAGACAGCTAGAAAAACAAACAGACAGACAGCCAGACAGATAAAGAGAGGGGGAGGGAAATATAATAGACAGCCAGAAAAAAAAACAGACAGACAGCCAGACAGATAAGATAGATACCAAAATTCCAAATACCAAAAAAAAAAGTCACTTAC